TGGTTACGTGGCACACGTGTGAAGATGGGCACCTTCGTGGCGGAGATATTTTATAGTGAAATATTCAAATGTGCATAACTTTGTAAGTTTAAGTCCGATTGGGCTAGAATTTGGTGGGTGGATGAATTGTTAAGCGACATGAACGAATGCGCCATGTCTGTTGCAGTGCGCCACGTTTGTCTCAAAGCGCCATTTTTGCCGCAAAGCGCAGAATGTGCTTAACTTTGTCGAACATTGGACGATTAGGATGCGCTGTAATTAAGGGATGGCTGCTTAAACGGCAGATATGAATGCACCACATTTGCCGCAGGGCGCCATATTTGTCTTAATGCGTCAGTGTTTGCGTTTTGCCTACGGCGGGCGTTTTTTTGCGGCGGCGTTTGCGTTTTTTTTCGGGGTTTGCGTTTGACGGCGGGCGGCCGTTTTTGCGTTTTTGGCGGTGTTTGCGTTTGGCGGCGGGCGGCCGTTTTTTGCGGTGTTTTGCGGTTGGCAGCGGGCGTGCGTGCGTTGCGGGCGTTTTTTTTTGCGGTGGTGTTTGCGGTTTTTGTGTTTGGCGGTGGGCGGACGGGCGATGCGGGTGTTTTTGCGGTGTTTGCGTTTGGCGGCGGGCGGCCGTTTTAGCGGCGGTTTGCGGTGGGTGGCCGTTTTTTGCGGCGTTTTGCGGTTTGCGGCGGCGGCCGTTTTTTGCGGCGGTTTGCGGCGGGCGGCCGTTTTTTGCGGCGTTTTGCGGTTTGCGGTGGGCGGCCGTTTTTTGCGGCGTTTTGCGGTTGCCGGCGGCCGGCCGTTATTTGCGAATTTGCGTTTTGCGGCGGGCGTCCGTTTTTTTGCGGCGTTGCGCGGTTGGCGGCGGGCGATGCGTTTTTTGCGGAGGCGGTGTTTGCGTTTTGCGGCGGACGGGCGTTTTTTGCGGCGTTTTTTTTCTGCGGTTTTTGGCGGGCGGGCGATTGTTTTTTTGCGAAGTTTGCGTTTGCGTTTTAGGCGTCGTTTTGCGGTTTTGCGTTTGGCGGCGGGCGGGCGGTTTTTCACAATTAAAGTCCCAACCTTCGGATCCGCAGTGCTGTTCGACAAGCGCTGCCCGGGTATCCGAAGGTTGGGACTTTTCAATTAAGAACAATCACTATTCTTTAGAATTGTGATTTTCTATTGAAAATCCCAACCTGAGCTACCTCTCTAGGGGGGTGTTTAGCGTTTCTGCCGCGATTTTGGACATTTTGATTGGGGCAAAAACGGCTAGTTAGATTTTCTTGCCATTTTCAGCGTTTGGTCCCGTGTGGGGGAGCTACCTTGTGGCAAAGTTACAAAAAATATAATTGACACGTTTTGGGGTAATCGGCACGTGCATTTTCCCATAGGGTTAACATGGGGTAAAATTTAAAATTCGATTTGCGAAAAATTTCGTCAATTATATTTGCTGATATTTTTAGGATCGGATCTAGGGCTGGCACCTCAACTTTTGGTGTTAATTATTTAAAAATCATAGGATACAATTTCGGGTATTCTTGACGGACAGTTACCCCATGCTGAGCCTATGGCGATTTCGAAAAATTATTTTCAAATCAATTTTGCCAAAAATTTCCACGTTAGATTTTGAAAAAGTTCCAATATGTTGTGCACCGGGGTGTCGGCTACCACGTGGTATGGGTCAGATATGGGGCGATTGAAAAGCACGTGCCACGTGCAAACGTGTTTGATGGGGTAACCTCCGGGAAAATCCGACATTGGCCAACTGGGGGTCCTATGGCGTGGAAACCACTCCACCTAGCGACACCAAATCAACGCAGCCGGTGAGCAGATGAGTCCAGCTTGTCGCACTAGTGGTCACGTGTCGCACGTGCTATTGCATGTGCCGTGGCACGGGGTCAATTTTGGTGCTTAAATATACTAGCATTGTGAAATGCAAGGAATGGGGGAAATAGCCGTCAGGCCGTCAGTTTTTATGATAGGGTCGATCTGAAAACGGGTTTAGGCACAGATTGAAGGGGGCTAAAAAACTGCTATCTCGGATTTTTTGTAAAATGAAAAATTTAAAATTCTGGGGAAATTATATATTCGAAAGGTGAAATTTCCCTAAATTTTCCCGTTTTTCGAGTTTAGCCGTCCACTGTTCAGAGACGGTGACACCGGCCGGGGTCATCTTTTACATGCTGATGGCCACGTCGATGGGTCATCACGTGGCGTGAGCGGTGAAGCTATCAGAGGTCCGGCACGTGCCACGTGGCCACGTGTTTGAGTCGCGTACCTCCCAGATTATCGTGTGTTTGCCGATTTGTGGCCTTATAGCACGAAAACAGCACAAGCCAGGAACACTGAAATGGTGCAATCAGTGAGGAGACAAGTCCTGCTTACACCACCGGCGGTCACGTGGCACACGTGCAAATTTGGGCACCTCCTTTGCGGAGATATCTTATAGTAAAATATTCAAATGTGCATAACATTGTCAGTTTAAGTCCGATTCGGCTAGAATTTGGTGGGTGGATGAATTGTTAAGCAACAGAAACAAATGCGCCACGTTTGACTCAATGCGCCACGTTTGTCTCAAAGCGCCATTTTTGCCGCAAATCGCAGAATGTGCGTATCTTTGTCGAACATTGGACGATAAGGATGCGCTGTAATTAAGGGATGGCTGCTTAAACGGCAGATATGAATGCACCACATTTGCCGCAGAGCGCCATATTTGTCTTAATGCGTCAGTGTTTGCGTTTAACGGACGGCGGGCGTTTTTTGCGGCGGTGTTTGCGTTTTTTCCGGTGTTTGCGTTAGGCGGCGGGCGGCCGTTTTTGCGTTTTTTTGCGGTGTTTGTGTTTGGCGGCGGGCGGCCGTTTTTTTTGCGGCGTTTTGCGGTTGGCGACGGGCGGGCGGGCGTTGCGGGCGTTTTTTGCGGCGGTGTTTGCGTTTTTTGCGGTTTTTGGGTTTGGCGGCGGGCGGGCGGGCGATGCGGGTGTTTTTGCGGTGTTTGCGTTTGGCGGCGGGCGGCCGTTTTTGCGGCGGTGTGTGGCGGGCGGCCGTTTCTTTTGCGGCCTTTTGCGGTTTGCGGCGGGCGGCTTTTTGCGGCGTTTTGCGGTCGCCGGCGGCCGGCCGTTATTTGCGGTGTTGCGGTTTGCGGCGGGCGGTCGTTTTTTGCGGCGTTTCGCGGTTGGCGGCGGGCGATGCGGGCTTTTTTTTGCGGCGGCGGGGTTTGCGTTTTTTGCGGTGATCGCGTTTTGCGGCGGACGGGCGTTTTTTGGCGTTTGGCGTGCGTGCGATGCGGGCGGTTTTGATTTTTTGCTGCGTTTTTTTGAGTTTTTTGCGGTTTTCGCGGGCGATTTTTTTTGCGGCATTTGCGTTGGCGTTTTGGCGTCCGTTTTGCGCGTTTTGCGGTTTTGCGCGTTTTGCGGCGGGCGGGCGGTTTTTCACAATTAAAGTCCCAACCTTCGGATCCGCAGTGCTGTTCGACAAGCGCTGCCCGGGCCTACCGAAACGCTTAGGAGTCTGACGTTCGACCGTCTAAATTCTACTCGATATTGCACCGGCAGTCTCCTCGTAGCTATCGTATACTGCCTTTTTCGGAATCTAATGGTTGATTAGTTAATTGGTCAGAGGCCAATTAATGCAAATTGCGCTGGAACATGTCGCAAGCCTCATCCATGAATGTGTGATAAACGTTCAACATCTAATATGGCTAGATAAGCACTACCTCATTGACATTTTGATCATTGACGAAAGTTTTACATCAACAGTCATTGTTTACGCACAGTACCGATGAATTTTGCACATCGACTAACCATTTTGTGAAATGTTGAAGCATTATCACAATCTGACAAAGTGTTTCGCCCGTGACGAACATTCCGCCCAAGGACAATGAGTTATGCAGAATAGTTAAATGGAGTCCAGCCTGTTTTGCCGACCGTCAAACAGTGATGCACATCGCCGATGGGTTATGCTGAATGACGCTTGTCCAAACTGATGCCGAAGTGGTTATGACGATTGGCCATCGAACAACGCAAAAAGGTGTAGTACACCCTCAAAGCTCGTAACGAGCCTTCGCTCGGGTGTCGCCCCCCCCCCCCCCCCCGCTTCACCGGCCATGGCTGGATTTCTGCATCCATGCACCCACAATGTTCCAGCCGTTCCTACGCCCATGGCTACAAGGTTACAACCTTGTCTTATAATACAAGGTTCTTACCCATTGCTTCTGTTTTTTATTGACATTTTTAAATTGTGAAGTGTGAGGAGGTCGTTTAGGAGAGGTGGCCACGGGGCATGCACAGTGGCGTTTCCAGGATCTTGAAAAGGGGGAGGCCAAACCTGCTCAAGGGGCCCCACCCTTACCTTAGGGGCCCCAGTAGTGGCGTACTTAACCCACGCCCAGGTGTGGTTCTTTGCCACTTTCACCCATGTGAGGGAGCCTTTTTAGGCACACTCAGCAATCTAAAAAAGAAAAGAAAAATATGAAAAAGCCATTGATATCGATAGCTCTGTATGTATAGTGCACAATTTAGAAGAGTCAGACATTTTGTTTTTCTCACTGACAATGACAATATTACATTGTTTTTGTATTGTCATTACCTGTGAAAAAGCGGTGCACAATTTATTTCAGCAGTAGGCATAGTTATAGTTTTTTTGCTTTGGTCGTTGCCGTGGCCACAAAAAATGATCAAAAGCAAAATGTTTTGTCATTTTTTACGATTGTAACATTTTTCAAAGGGCAGATGTCAATCTCTTAGTGTCTTGCGCTGGTTGAGGGCTGATACCCTTAACTTTACTAACTTTAGATTTATCACTCGCTCGTTTGTCGCCCGAAAAGTCGTTTTGCAGATAATCCTAATGCTGAAAAAAAATGGCGCGATCTGCCGCTGTTTACGCGGGCTATACGTGGGGGGAAAAAACAAGAGGGGGCCCATCCGACCGCTACAAATGCATGGGTCAAAAACTGACTGTTTTAGGACACTGATGCTAATTGTGCTAATTGTACCTGTGTTTGTAATTCAACATACCGGTATAACTGTTTTCTCTTTATACAGGCAGAACAATGGCTGTAAACCTGAATCATGAAGAGGAAATTGGTGAAAATTCAGCAAACAGTGAGGAGGATACGAGAACAGAAATCCGCAAAGAGCTCGCTAATATGTCTTTCGAGGAGATTCAGAAGTTGAAAGAGAAGCTGGGTGCTAAGGTTTTTAATGAGGCTTACCACGGAAGACCCTTACGAGCTCGAACTGGGAGCAAGGCCCTGCTGAAATCGGGTCGTGTGCATGGTCAGCCGTATGGCAAGAGAGGCAAACACGCCCCGCGGGAAGAATCGTCCAAGATGCGCGTTCCATCTGTAAGAGATGTGATCGCTGTGCCAAAAGTAGTCCGGAGGGATCCTCGATTTGATGGTGTGTCTGGAACTTACGACGAAAAAGCGTGGAAGAAAAATTACAAATTTGTCGGCGACATCAAGACCTCAGAGAAAACGCAGTTGAAAGAACAACTTCGAAAGGAAAGTGACCCAAGCGAGAAGAAAAAGCTCAAAGTACTTCTGCAAAGGTTACAAAATCAAGAGAAGGCAGAGAAGGAAAAAGAAAAGAAAGAAGCTGAGGCGAAGATGGAACGCGAGGAAAATATCGCTCGTTTGAAGCAGGGCAAGAAACCCATCTATAAAGCAAAATCGGTCAAGAAAAAGGAGGAACTTGCCGAAAAGTTCATCGAGTTGAAGGAAAGTGGAAGGCTAGATAAGTACTTGCAAAAGAAGAGGAAGAAGATGGCTGGCAAGTCGAAAAAGCAGTTGATGTCATCGTGAGTAACGACGCCTGTCAAATGATGTGTTTTGTAGCGCTCGATTGCAATTGTAACTGATTGATCCCCCGGTCTCCAGCGAACGTATCGTCTGCCATTTCCACTGCTGCATCTGTTTGTGTTTGATACTGCAGAGCGATGCTTCCGAGCATAGCATTTCTGAACACTTTTGTTGTCATTTAAGTACTTCCGGCTCTTTCAACCAGTCACCGAAATTAACTAGTTTTCACTTCTAATGTAATGTCGCAAATGTATATACGCTGGATGATTCGCCTTCGCTGATGGTTGCTGATTGGATCAATCGTTGTCATAAGTGATCCGCCCTCTGCAGCCACCTGCGGCTCAGGCTGCCGGCCTCATGTGGTAGGTACCTAAACATTATAGTTGTTATGGTGCATTTCGGTACCGTTTATGAGAATCGAAGCGGTACTGTTTTCTTCTGCCGTAAAACAGGCAAATAAATGAATTTGAAATGTACCTACTATCTACTGCCTGCGGGTATTATATGTACCTACAGTATGTAGTAAAGATAGCGTCATTAGATGAGATAGCTACATGAGGACATTGCACGGCCTTTGAGCTCAATATACTCAAAGATGACCCCCGCCTGATGCGGGGATGCGATGGTGGATGCCATTCATCTGATTGTTTAGGTATGTAGGTCCTAAATGAGCCAATTAGCTCGTCAAATATTTGCAGCCTCAGGCCATTCTTGCCGCATCTTTAAAAAAAAATGACTTCAAGTCCGGTTAGGTTAACGACCTACTCGTATATATCAAAGGATGAGGGCAAAATATTCGGTATTTTCCCAATGCCCGCTAAAACCCGTATATAATGGTACCTGTACTTCGTAATGCTACGAAGCTGGTAGATAGGTAAATAGTTGTTATTTAGGGTAAGAGGCATCCATGGGGGGCATGAAGTGATATTTACCGGGCATCGCCTGCAATGCATGATAAACACTTGGTAACGTATAATAAAAACTCTGATTTGAATCACGCAGCACCGCATGGGCGGCGAGACCAGCATTGTTAATCTGTATATGTTTTAACCCTCGCCCGTAAACGGTGTTTTGCCACCTTCGCCCATGCAGGGGGGGTTGGTGTGACCCCCCCCCCCCTGGCGTTTGAAAATGGAGCGTCGTAGAGCTTAGCGGAAAAGACGAACGGATTGCTCTCAACGAGATCTCGCGATTGGTGGTATAATTTTTGGTCCTAGGTCAACATTTGACCTACGTATGACCGTTCAAAGGTCAAATTTTCTAAAAAAAACTAACTTTTCTTATTTCCGCGCCGATTGCGGCAAAACGGTAAGAGATATCGACTTGAAACCTTCACTATCGTGATCCTTGATCAATTCTCCATCGTTTGGTGTGTGTTTCGATGTCATAACTCTAAAAATGATGCGTTGGGAGCATCGGAAGTCTGCAAGGTCATTTGTGCATTGGGTCACGTCAGGCGTGTGACGTCACTGACCTGACCCTGACCCAAAATGAACCACAAGAAACAACCGAAGATGCCTGAAATGGATAGCAAATTCGAATTCAGGGCATCAAAATACCCCGAAAAGGCATACAAGTGCAAGAAGTCATTACAGGTCAACCGAGGTCACTGACCTTACCTTGACCTTTAGTAACCTTCAAAGGGTCAACGGACATTGTGCCAATGTCAAATCAGCCATTTGTGATTCTAAAACAATCCATCAGTGTGTCAGGTCAGTCGGCATTTATACCAATGTGAAGCAATCTCCAATTTAGCGTAAATCTGGCCGGAGGTTGTTCCCTTTATGACGTCATAACTCCGTGACCTGACATAACCTTGACAAAAAAAAATACCAAAAGTTGCGCAAAGGATGCCCCAAAGGGTACTGAAAATTTGAGCAGGCTATCTGAAACGGTTCGGCGTGTTGCTAAGAAAAACCTCAGGGGGGTTGCATCAAACCCCCCCCCCCCCTACATGGGCGAGGGTTAAAGTATGCCCCCTCCGCAGTAGCTATATAAGCAGCAGCTGCCGGCAATGGTGGCCCGGGTGCTCGAGACCAAAGCCGATGCTCTGTTTCCCAGTGGGCCTCCACCATCCCCACCAATCGAAAACGGTCATGCATGCAGAATGGCTGCTGGGGCTGCTGCCTAATAAAGGTTTCCGTCTTTTCCACGATTTTCGGTAATAATAACCGTTTCCAAGAAGAAAGCGGCCATCTGCTTCGGTTCTTGTTAAAAGAGGCTTATTGCTTTTGTTACAGTAGAATTGTTTATGGACACAGCACCCAACTCAGAAACTTATTTCAATCACACTATGACTACACGCAATGGAAACTTGAAAATTGGAAGGCGGCTCAGATAGTCTTCGGTGAACAGGTAATATGCAAAACATGACGACTCGTGGAAAGCATCGATATGCAGGGGAACTACGTCAATTAGCACTGCATAGAAGGTTGATTGGAGGCAATAAAAACAGCGCGGGCGGCGGCACTGGGCCAGGCCCTGACAACCATGCAGCATGGGCGTCAGAACGAACCATGGCCACTGGCGGATCCAGAAAGGCAGTCTTGGACGCTGCGGAGGGCATATCCTCCAAAAAAGCTTCTCCAAATTAAAAAAAAACCTCATCGGATTTCGAATCCTTACGCACTGTTGTGCCGTTGAAAATTCACTTTTCCCAATAGAAGTTGGTAAGTTTGCGTTGTTTATCGCAAAACCGCAAATTTTCGTCGATTTCGGGCGCTGCGGGGGGCATTTGACCCAAATCCGCTATGGATCCCCCAGTGACCATTGTTGGGAAGGTACATCCATGCATCATACTTACGTTTAGGTCTTTTTAAAGTTCCCGTGTACGTATGGGGCTGTCATGTGGTGTCCGGGACTGGATGGCGCTGTGTGTGGTGGCCCCATTTCCTCCCCATGCCGAGAATCGTTCTGGCAGTAATGTGGATATATCAGCGAAACACCGTCGATGGTTTGTACAGTTGTGTAAATTGTATAGGTCCAGTCTCTACTTTGTGTCATGTGTGGCCCGGTGAGCGAGGTTTGGTGCGACCCTCGCCGTGTCTATTTGAGCTAGAACTTGGCGGAAAAATGAACGTATATGCGCCGTTACTAAACGGAGCGAGTCAGCGACTGGTAGGTACATGATTGTAAGATCTTGAGTAAGCAGGTGACATCCAAGATCAGGTCAAGTACTCCAAGGCACGCAACCTTTTCCGCTCAGGTCATCACCTTGACCTTCGGACAACTTTCTAAAATGATTTTCAGGTATAGGTCAAATTATTGATCTTTCGACACGTCTCGACGAGAGGAACACTAAGCACTCAAACATTGGGCACCAGGTGAAAATGGCACATTGAATCAGAAAATTGCACTCGTGAGTCGTGACCTTTCTTTATGCCCCTGAGGTCATATCGGTTCGTGAAAGGTCTCTGTCAGTTTTTCACAACGTCTAACTTTTGCTAAAGACATGTTGGAGCGATGAAAATACCTTGGATGTGTTCAGCTCAACAATACGGATTGGATCCACTGATACACAATTTCACGACGAGCTATCTGGCGAATACACATAGGTACCTAATTTGAACAAATCTTCACCAAATCTCTTTTACAACAAACATCTTCATCCAGTGAACATTTTTCGGTGAAATTTGGTAGATGTTCATTTTCTTATCTTTCTGAACCACGGTACATCACTTTTATGCCAATTCAAATTCATTAAGATTTTTGAAGGTGGGAGGGTCCCTTTAACCCTCGCCGGCACAGGCCATTTTGCGTCCTTCGACGGCACAAGGGTACGACCCCCCTCGCGTTTGGCCCCTAATCGAGCTAGAGATTCGCGGAAAAACGAGCGTGTTGCCCGTCACGAGAGGAAGCCGATGATACCCAATTTTAAGGTCCTAGGTCATCGTGTCAGGTCAATGACCCGAAAATCGGGAAAATCGGGACCTGTTAGAAAGTCGTAAAGTGTGGCTGCTATAGGGTTTTCCGGGGTGCTGTTCACGAATATCGTGTTAGTTTTGATCAGAGATGATGTCTTTAAGCATTTAGACCAGGTCGGGTCAGGTCAGGTCAACCGGTAGGGGTCGTGACGGGTATTCGTAATACGTGTCAACCGCCTCTGACAGCTTCGTAACATGTTTTGAAGGCACCAAAACTACTTCGTAAATGTTCAAATGGTTGCTAAATTTCGAATTCAGCTAAAAAGAAAACTAGCCTAGAAGCATGTAAAACTCGAAAAAGTGAACCGAGGTCACCAAAGGTCAATGACCTGACCTGACCTTCAGGTGACCTTGACACCCACCCTAATGTATGGGAGCTACATCAAATCACATGTTTGAACGTTTGAAACCACAAAAAGCTTGCAAACGCGCGGCTAATGCGAGCCGACATACGCCGAATCGCGATTCCGGCCAAGCATGGTCTCGGAAAAGATTTGAAAGGGTCATGGTCATGGTTTTCAAAAAGGGTCATGAAATTTTTAGGGTAGGTGTAACATTAACCTTCGCCCCAGTGGGGGGGGGGGCATATGTTACCACCCTGTCGCGTTTTTCGCGTGTGAATAAAAAACCGCGGCGCGTAGCGCCGCGCCGCTTGGGGTAGCTTTTGGTACATCAATTTTGGACAATGTGTGAAATTTTTTACCTCAGGTCATGTCAGGTCAGGTCACCAGGTCAAGTTAACTGACCAACCCTTAAACAAAGTTTGCAATCATGTCCAGCCTGCAGTGTTTGTCAGAAAGGTTTTAAACTTGGTGGATTGCATGCTGTTATGGGAGCCTACAATTTGTATATCTCGGATTTTTTTATATCCGTGACCTAAGGTCAGGTCAGTGGCATGACCTTTCCATTACAAGTCAATGGAGAAAAATGAAAATGCCTCTAGATCCGTGTGTACGCATAGGAACGGTCCAAATATTTCAGAATCACAATGATTTAGTCCACTCGTGATGACCAAGGTGTCATTTTTGCTGATAGCCTCTAGAAAGGTCATCCGAGGTCATTTGAGGCTACAAACAGTTTTTGCCAATAACTCGCGATTGGAAAGAGATAGAACGCTGGGGATGGTCTCATTGTGTTTGTCTTGTTGAGACGCATCGACTGATATGCAACATGACCTTTTCCGGTCAGGTCATGACCTTGACCTGAGGTCAAATTTTTAAGTTGACCTTTCAAGGTCAAATTATAGTTCATTCGACGCGTCTCGGTGAGGGGAACACGATTCTGGCAATAGAAATGTCGTGGCTTTTTGTAGTCGAAAGTTATTGTCGAAAAACACTTTTCGTAAAAATAGCTATTTTTGGAGTTTTTGCCCTCTGGAGGCTAAACCGTTGACCTGAGGACAATATTGATAATGACCTTTTCAAAAGAAGAGTTCAAAAACTATCGATTGCTTTTCCATGCATTTTTCTAGCTACCATAGTTCCTGAGATAGCTGCATGTTTTCTGAAAAATATAATGACAATTGGCAAATTTTGACCTTTGATGACCTCTGGTGACCCCAATATTGCTCTAAGGTGAAAAATGACTGAAATACTTTCAAACGTACGTATTGAGAGCTATCGACTGCTTTTTACCGCGTCTTTCTAGCCCTCTTAGTTTTTGAGTTAGAGGTGGGTGGTAACATATGCCCCCCCTCACTAGGGCGAAGTTGGCCGAGACCGCCACTGGGGCGCGGGTTAATCAATGCGAGGGTATTAAAAGTTTCGTCGCGATCGGCCGCTTTTTACGCGAGTTATTCGCGAAAAGCTAACCCCCCCCCCCCCCTGTGCCGGCGAGGGTTAAAGCACTTGTAGAATTAAATAACTTCTGTGATAATTTGCTCGAGACATTTCTTTTTTTTTTTGCTGAGTGACTGAGTCTGTGCTTAAAGGAACTATCCCACCTTCTAAAATGTTGTTAAAACCAGTTAAATTGTGCCCGACTTTATAGATTGGATGACCAGGAACACGGTTCTGGCATTTATTTTTCATTAAACATCTTAGGCTTCCCATATTCCAAACACAAACTTTCAAATATGTGACGTCAGGCAGCCCAAAATTACCTGCTTCCCCAGGCCACATTACTGTCATAAAGCTGATTCTTTTTACTCTGTAGGCACCACAACAAAGTTCAGACCAAGTTTTAAGCGATTTTTCAACGAACAAACCCATTTAAATCAGAATGACTAAACGAGGTGACATCACACTAACGGTCGCTCCATGTTGAAGATAGGGCCTTGCGCAAGGCCCATTTTCAAATGAAGGGAACGAATTTCTTCAACACCAAGAGGCCGCGGGGGCTGCAACCTAGATAGATAGTGGTTTCTGAACCTCGCCGCAAACTTGGCTATCTCAACTCAAACCCCATGTTAAAGGTGGGATAGTCCCTTTAAGGCAGAGAAACGTGTTGCACACATTTTCCCGTGTGAGTTTTTGCTGATCCCTCTACATAGGAACAGTGTGTAGGGTTGATTAGTTTTAGACGGGGACGGGGGGAAGGCAATCGAAAGCTCTCAACAAGGCGGATCTTAACCCGCGCGGGGCTGGGGGGGTAAATTTTACCCCCCCCCCCTCGCGAATTTTTGCGATATCTCAAAAACGGCGGCGCGCAGCGCCGCCAAACTTTCAGTACCTTTTCTTACATCAATTTGACACGTTCCCTGAAAATTTGAGCGAAATCCGTCGCAAAATTTTGGAGAAATTTACGTTTTAGTGACGTCATGTTCGCCATTTTCGCCTGAAAAACGGCAGAAGTTCAAACGCCGCTAACATCTTCATTTTTAAAGGAATCAAGACGTAACAAAAAAGGTTATACGTAATTTTAGTTTGTCTATCAAATGGCTATCTCGGTTTTTTGAAACTTTTGGATTTTGGCCTAAATTTTTTTCAAAAAACTGATTTTTTTGGGAAAATGATTATAAAATCCAAAATTTTGAGTCTATCGAAAAAACCGGAATATATGTCAGAGAAGTGGTCTATGTGCGCCTACATACCAAATTTTAGAAGAATCGGTTCAAAAATGTGGGAGTTATTCAAAATTTTATGACGTCACGACACACAAAATTTTTGAAAAATGACTTTTTTGGAAGTTCTAGACCTCGTACGGAAACCAAAATAGCACCATTCGATTCGCCGTGAAAAACTGCATCGGATAGACACCTTTTAGGACTTATCAACCAACTTCAAAATTTGACCTCACTTGACCTGACCTTGACCTGACCTCGACCTGAAATTCATCCAGAGGTGGTCCATATCACTTATTGAGTGTGCCTATTGAATTCTATGAGTAAAATGACCCATAAAACATGTGTCGCACGTGCCCTTTTCTATATTTGGTTTTTTGGTGACCTGACCTGACCTAACCTGACCATGACCTTGACCTCTGAATGATATTGTATGCAACGAATATTGTCTTGGTAGCCTAAGAACACGTTTTGGGCGATCAGTCTCAGTCCATGACTCCATTCTTCGGCAACTACGGTGCAAGGCCGATACTGTAGAAACTTGCAATTTGTACCCTTGACCTGACCTTGACCTTGACCTCAAACTTTAAATTAAGCACATGTTTTTAGTTGTTCGTGATGAGAGCTTTCGACTGGCGTTTGAATTTTCCAAATCGAATCATTAGTTCGGGAGATAACAGGGGGGGGGGGTAAAATTTACACCCCCCCCCCCCAGCCCCGCGCGTTCGGCTGGAGACCCCAGCCCCGCGCGGGTTAAGAGCTCATTTTTTTGCTTAAGTAGGTCAGAGGTCAGGTCAAGGTGAGGTCAAGGGTACAAAATGCAAGTTTCTACATTATCGGCCTTGCACCGTAGTTGCCGAAGAATGGACTGAGACTGATTGCCCAAAACGTGTTCTTAGGCTACCAGGACAATATTCGTTGCATACAACATCATTCAAAGGTCAAGGTCAGGTCAGGTCAGGTCACCAAAAACAAAATATAGAAAAGGGCATGTGCGACACATGTTCTATGGGCCATTTTATTGATGAAATCAATAGGCACACTCAATTAGTGATATTGACCACCTCTGGATGAATTTCAGGTCGAGGTCGGGTCAAGGTCAGGTCAAGTGAGGTCAAATATTGAAGTTGGTTGTTAAGGCCTAAAAAGGTGTCTATCTGAAGTAGTTTTTCACGGCGAATCGAATGGTGCTATTTTTGTTTCCGTACGAGGTCTAGAATTTCTAAAAAAAAAATCATTTTTGAAAAATTGTGTGTGTCGTGACGTCATAAATTTTTAATAACTCCCACATTTTTGAACCGATTCTTCTGAAAATTGGTATGTAGGTGCACATAGACCACTTCTCTGACATATATTTCGTTTTTTTCTATACACTAAAAATTTTGGATTTTATAATTATTTTCCCAAAAAAGTCAGTTTTTTATTTAAAAAAAGGGCCAAAACCCAAAATTTTCAAAAAAAAACGAGATACCCATTTCATAGACAACGTAGAATTACGTATAACTTTTTTGTTACGTCTTGATTCCTTTAAAAATGAAGATGTTAGCGGCGTTTGAAATTTTGCTGTTTTTGAGTCGAAAATGGTGAACATGACGTCACTTAAACGTCATTTTCTCAAAACTCTTCCGACGGATTTCGCTCAAATTTTCAGGGAACGTGTCAAATTGATGTATGATAAGGTACTGAAAGTTTGTTGTCGCTGGCCTAACACGTTTAGAAGTTATTGGCGAAAAAAGGAGGGGGGCAGATTCTGCCCCCCCGCAGCGGGGCGCGGGTTAACACTAACTGTCCGTATTCTAACAAAACTAACACGTGGATCCTTATCCGACCAATCCCGTTTGACAGTGCCATAAATTATAAATTGTTCAATGTGTGATCCCAAATTATATTCTAAACAGAATATAATTTCTATACGGAACAATAAACGGAACGGAACGGAAAAAAATTGAGCTACCGATCACATTCCTCGCCTTCCTTGTGTTGTGACTTGTGACAGTAGACCGAAGGCCTTTCCGAATTCGTGCCCGGACACATTATTCGCCGCTATTACGAGTCTGATCGATGAGAAGCCGCCCGGCTGCGGACGGGAGCCGGTTTTTCTGCGGAACACAGACCGCATCGTGACGTCAGGGACGTGCTTAGGATAAAGGAGCTGCGAGCGGGGGCCGTGGGCATTGGTGCCTCGTTCGTCCTTCTGCCCGTCCGTCCGTCTGCCTGCAGTTACAGATGACCTCCGCCGCTACACTCCGCGTGCTGGCCGCACTGTTAGCCTGTGTGGCCCTCAGCTCGGCAGCCACCCACCTGGAGCGGGTGGATATTGTGCCCGGTAAGTGGACACGGGATAAACACGACGTCGTTGTAAGCGGTTAGTGGACACGGACAGCCGTCATTCTGACGTCGTTTGTGACCAACCTATCGTAGCGTCAGGAAAAAATGGCAACAATGTGTAAAATTAATGACCGAAGGGGTCCTGAAAGTTTGGTGGCGATATCTGCGGTACTTTAGGAAATATCGACGGAAAAGGAGATGTGGCGTTTCGCCCCCCCCCCCCCTACGGGGCGCGGGTTAAGAAACCAACCCAATTTCTGAAACAGTTTGCAAGTCTCACCGCTGCCAGAGTTGCGAACAGATCAAACTGAAGATTTCAGGATTTCATTTAATGACTTTTATCTGCACTTAGCATATAATATTTGCCCCGGAGGTCATCGCAAGCCATGAAAAGTTTTCGGCAGTTTTTGGACAATATACCTAAGTTTTGATAGACATGCTAGACTAATGACTAGGTACACCTTGGATGTTGATAAGTGAAGAACTAAGCCTTAAATGTGTTCAGCTCAATAATACGAAACGTCTGACATACAGCATGATCTTTTCGGTCAGGTCATGGGCTTGACCTTATGTCAGTTTTCAAGGTGACCTTTTTGGTTTAATCTACGCGTCGCGACAAGAGGAGCGTGCTGTCGGCCGCCGGGAACATCAATGTCGTGCGAGTTTTGAGCATAAAAAAGAATAAGATAAAGACGCTCTCCGCGAAACCGTCGATTGGGAAAGTTTTCTCCTCTGGACTGGAGGCAGCAACCTCTTGAACTAAGGTCAAATCTGAAAACAACATTCGGAAAGAGTGTTTGCAGAGCTATCACTTTTCCGCAGTGCTATAACCCGCGAGTTGCTGGGGGGGGGGAGCGTTAAACGCCCCCGGCCCCCACTTTTTTCGCCGGGCCATAGCATAAAAACGGTGCGCCGCAGGCGCGCCAAATTTTGGGTACCTGTAGGGAATTGATTGAAGTGTATTGTGACAAAGTTTCAAAAAATATCGGTCGGAAAATTTTTGAGATATCGAGGTTTTAGTGACGTCATGATTTCTGAGTTTTCGGCCAAAAACGGCATATGTTCAAAAAATCATATAAAATCACAGAATAGACATACAGACATGCCGTAATCGCCATTAGACTGCCAATACCATGAACAATCAAATGGCTATCTTCGATTATTGATTATCTTTTCGCATTTTCCAAAATCTTGAACTGAATCTTGGCAATTTCTCGTGACTACTTCACGACCATGATACATGCATTTCTTAAATTGAACTTTTTAAGCCAAACACGTACACATATGATAAAATGAATGTCACCATCGTGTTCTACGCTCCAAATTACGCATAAAACATGTGTCACAGGCTGCGAATATCAGTTTTGATTTTCGGGGATATGTGCCTACCCGGTTGACCTGACCTTGACCCTGACCTATGCTTTACTGACCCCTACATGGAGCTGACACTCTTGTAGGCCTTATATGGGGCGTTCCACGACAAATCGACAAGTGCCCTGCACCCTCATATTTTATTTTTTGCTTAAAATTGGTCTAATGGGTTGTGATGGGCGGGGAAGCCAGCTGTGGCAAGGATTTTTTTCTTCGAACAACGGTTTCCGAGATATAGCCTCGGGCAATTCCTGGAGTTCGCGCTGCAGCCCTATGTTTGGCGGCCTATAACTCAGAAACTATTGGTTTTTTACGGTAAAAACTTTATATGGTTCAACTCACAGTCAACCAACAAACATTTTGGCTATCTCGGATTTTCAATTTTTGAAAATTTTGATCACGTGAGCTTTTGTCCTATTTTTCGAAGAGTGACCTTGATATTTTCCCCACTTAAAGTTGCAATTTTGTCTGATGACGATTAAAGCCTTATCGAATTTCATTCATATGCGATAATAAAAAAAAAGTGGTTATCGCCCTGCGTTGACCTCAGGTCAGGTCATTTTTATGATCTGTCCATTATTACGAGCGGGAGCGACAGCGAGATCTCGAGAATAAAGCAAGATAGCGACAAGCGGTAAACGGTAAAGGGTACACACGGATAAGGTCTATAATTTTTACTGAGGTCATTTTCAGGTCAGGTCAAAGATGACGTCACAGGAGCTAAAAGGAAGTCAAAATAGCGGCGCTATACATATATATGAAGTTTTTCTCGAATAACTTTCAAGGTATCCCAGCTAGGAACAAACTAATAGCACCATCGTGATCCGCTCGTCGATCCGCATCGAAACATATGTATGTTGACCTCGAAAGGTCGAAAGGTCAAAAGTTGACCTTAGATCACGTGACCTAAGGTCAACTTTTGACCTTTCGACCTTTCGAGGTCAACATACATATGTTTCGATGCGGATCGACGAGCGGATCACGATGGTGCTATTAGTTTGTTCCTAGCTGGGATACCTTGAAAGTTATTCGAGAAAAACTTCATATATATGTATACCTAGTGCCGCTATTTTGACTTCCTTTTAGCTCCTGTGACGTCATCTTTGAACTGACCTGAAAATGACCTCAGTAAAAATTATAGACCTTATCCGTGTGTACCCTTTACCGTTTACCGCTTGTCGCTATCTTGCTTTATTCTCGAGATCTCGCTGTCGCTCCCGCTCGTAATAATGGACAGGTCATAAAAATGACCTGACCTGAGGTCAACGCAGGGCGATAACCACTTTTTTATTATCGCATATGAATGACAATCGATAAGGCTTTAATCGTCATCAGACAAAATTGCAACTTTCAGTGGGGAAAATATCAAGGTCATTCTTCGAAAAATAGGACAAAAGCTCACGTGATCAAAATTTTCAAAAATTGAAAATCCGAGATAGCCAAAATGTTCGTTGGTTGATTGTGAGTTGAACCATATAAAGTTTTTATCGTAAAACACCAATAGTTTCTGAGTTATAGGCCGCCAAGCATAGGGCTGCAGCGCGAACTCCAGGAATTGCCCGAGGCTATATCTCGGAAACCGTTGTTCGAAGAAAAAAATCCTTGCCACAGCTGGCTTCCCCGCCCATCACAACCCATTAGACCAATTTTAAGCAAAAAATAAAATATGAGGGTGCAAATTTAATTTTTTATTTGTCGATTTGTCGTGGAACGCCCCATATGATGGATTGTGCACCGTTTTGACAGAGTTTATGACGAGAGGCGCCCATTGCGAAGTCCTGAAGTCCATGCTACTGAAAGCCCGATTTTAGGTGTTTGACCTGACCTTGACCCGACCTGTGACCTCAAAATTCAACTTTAAAAGTACTCATCTGAAGCGTCTCGTCGCGTTCTTTCGTTTACCGCCTCGTGCGTTTCGCTGCGCCTATTGGTTCTCGAGTTATCGGCTGGGGGCGTTTAACGGCCCCCCCCCCTCCCCCAGCAAACGGTGGGTGGCGAAATACCCCAGCAACTGCCGGGATAACACTGTCGGATCCCAAGTTGTGCGCCGTTTTGTCAAAGTTGTTGAAATTGGCAAGACGACCTTTTATGACCTCCGGTGACCTGACCTTTGGGATGATGTAGAACATCACTGCAGTGCTTTGCTCATTATTTTGACGCTCTTTCGAAAACTGCATGTTGGCTATCTATATGACCCGTATTGTGCTCTTAGTTCAGAAATCTTACGCAGCGGAAATTAGTATTATTTATTTGCTTCACCTATCTTGTATCAGATTTCACTCCGCTGTATTTGGTCTAAACATACCTATTTGTAAGTCAGGGCTGCGTACCTATACCTTGGCGGTCATCTAATGGAACGAGGCGCCGCAAATTCAGAGGTCGGGATTGGCGGACGGGCTGCCCTGCTGACTGCTGCACGCGACGGTCCGGCCGGCCCCCCGTTGTGGCCGGTTCCAGGTACCGATGGCACTACACGCCGTCAAATACGATTTCCTCACGAAATGACCGTATATAATGACTAAGCCGGTGAGGTTCTGCGTGATTTGCATAATTCCGCCGACCAGCCGCGAAATGTCAGTGTTGTTAGAGGCGGCCTCACACACAAACAGACGTTAGATGAGTGTGTGCCTGCGCTATGTAGTGAGTTGCAGCACTTATGTACACAGCAACACGATGCTTTTGTTTGCAGGTGGCTGATTGTTACGTCTCCAGGGCATAACCGATACGTCTCCTCGTGTGTATGCTGGTGCAATAATAATAAATTTTGCATCTCTCCCAGGCGCAACCCTGACCAAATAGTCTACAGCAGCAGTCAGCACTGACACTGAGTGCTGGGCCTACGCCAGTCAGATGCCCTCACTCTGTTCTTGATGCACTCCGTCGCTGGCTTGTCTCATCAGGCATCAGTGCCAGAGATGGTTACCCGACTAGCTCGTCCGACTCCTCGGGGCTGCTCAGCTGATCCCCCCTCATCGACGAACCATTTCGTACAATTTTGATCGCGTTTTAGGATTTCCTCCTTCCGAACTTACTTTCTATACGTTCAAAAAACACTCTAGCACTGATGCTCAGGCATGAGATAAACATTTTTTTACCAACTTGAATGATCGCTTCTCTTGGCAGGCCACGAGAACCAGTGTTATGTGAAGGATCAGGATAAATTCTACGACTCCGGCTCAACATGGACCGAGCCCGGCTGCATCAGGGGAATCTGCTCCGGAAAAGGAACGATGATTGAGCGCCAGAGGTATGCATTTTTTGTCACATTTATCCATTTCTTGTAATAGATAGGGGTCGATAAATGTTTGGGAAGTTTTCAATAAACTTATCCTAACGTTCTGAGTTGAATTAAACCTTATCTAGAGAGAGTAAACAATGAATTTTAACTCATTACTTTTCATTATTTGCCATATACATATATCATGCACAAGTGGCATGATAAAAGTTTTCGTTTATGACTCTTTTTCAAGACGGCACTCTGTGCATCTATTTGTTCGATTTTGGAAAAGCGAGGCAATCGACATATCATTCGAAAGCTAGAAGCCCAAACTAAGAAGAAAAACAACTAAATTATATCGGGTACGAAACGGTTTCAACGGATCAAATAGGTGGCCAATGTTCCGTGGTCAAAAGGACACGGATGTGTTGTCCAGTTTAGCCTTATCAGCAATGCACCTGTCAGTATTTGCAATTGTTGAACATTTGGTGTAAATGGTGTATGTTGGCAGCTGTGGACGCGGCTGTGAACGATTTACTGCAGTTGTACTGTTACTTATTCTAGCGCTCTTCAGTGGACTGTTTTCGGTGTTTTGGTTCAGTACCTACAGCAAGCTGCGTTTTGGTGCCCTAGGTATGTAGGATATGTAGTCTCCTAAAGCAGTTTTCGCGACGGACTATCCGGCGAATGCACTTCGTTTGAATAAATTTGCACCAAATCTCTAAATTACAATAAATATCTTCGTATCATTAATTTATTTCAGTGTTTTAATCGAAAATAATGTCTGATAGGTAAGTTAAAAATGAGGCATGTACCTAGGTATAGGCATCTGTGCAGCCCAAACTCATAACTGTTAAGAAACACACTGAACCTAATTTGACCAAATCTGCACCAAATCTGCGCCTAAGCTGCACCAAACGTGTACCAGATGGCCGTCGTGAAAACGGCTTCTGTTTACCTAATACCTAATCAACACTATGACGTTGCGTGTTACGCGTTATATAAACACAACGTTGTGCGCCCTTTTCGCTCGTAAGCTTTCGTCTGATAAATGCCAAATACCAACATGGCAGAAGCATGCGCCGCTCAGACATTAATGACGATCCCCTACTTTAGAAATTTATATAATAGAGGAGCTGGCCGGTTGGACTGATCGTGGTGCGTTGTCCTGTTACAGCTGCGGCAAGGTCAGCTGCGGCCCGAACCTGAGGCTGGTGGAAGGTGACTCGGACGCACCGTACCCCGACTGCTGCCCCTCCGGCTGTGTGCCCGTCACTCCGCCGGCCGCCGCCGCCGGCCTGTGAGGGCTGTGACCCTCGCCGCCGCGGGCCTGTGAGGGCTGAGACCTCCGGCCGCCGCCGCCGGCCTGTGAGGGCTGTGAGTCTGTGACCCTCAGCCCGCCGCCGCCGGCCTGTGAGGGCCACCGACTGCGCTGACCCCCGGCCGCCGCCGTGCCGGCCCAGTGACCGACTGCTGTGACCCCGCCGTGCGCTGCTCCCCACTTCCGTCTCGGTGCGATACCGAACAATGTGCGTGTCATGTGTCGCATTTGCGAAACGTCTGTCACTTAGAGGGCATTTTGCTTGAGGGCATCGTGACCCGGACTGTCCTTGCAGTCTAAGCAATGCCAGTGTTTGCGTTGTTACGTCTCGTCTATCGTCACTTCCATACATCTTCGTGCTTTTCTAGTTAAAAAGGTATATTTATGGTGGCTGTGAGATTGAATTATGCTTTCTGTTACCGTTTCTGCTTATAAAGATACACTGACCTTGCAATGAATAAATTGACTTAACTGCTCTTGAAGTGCGTCTTTTATTTGATATAATTATTTGATTGACCTTCGTCTTGAATAAATAGGTGCTACCTATTACCTATCTTTGCTACCTAATAGTTAAAATTGTTGTTTAGAAGTTTTATTTTTTCCTTTTGTTACATGTCCGTCTGCCGCAGTTCTTTTACAGGCCAGATTACATATCTGTCAGTGCACCACAAGGAGATGACTCTTGCACATTGGTCATTGCCTGTTTTCAGCCAAAGCCCTGTGGATGCCTGTGGGTCTCCTAGGAGACCCACAGGATCTCCTAGGTCTCCTAGTAGATCCTAGGTCTCCTAGTAGATCCTAGGTCTCCTAGGATCTACTTCGCTGCGCCATAGCCACGGTCGAGCTCGTCCGTGGCTATGGCGCAGCGAAGTAGATGGACCTGCTACTAACAGTGCATAGACCCGCCGCTAGACGTCGCTACCAGTTACCTTTTGTCTGTTTGGTGGGTCCAATACGACAATTGTGGTTTGTGGACACGAAGTTCTGTCAAAGCCTCGTGTTAGATAACTGGTCGAGGCAATACGAAAATTTTCAGTTTCGCGATGTTATGACCTCCGGACTGCCCGTTTGAGGAGCTCGGTGACCTGCCGCCTCGGGAGCCGGAACACGTCCTACCTAGGTAGGTATACCTAATGACATCCCAGCGAAATGGCCATAGCCCTAAGAGGCTTTGTGCAGACAACTCTGCTGATTTCCGACTTCTCTCAATTTATGGTCCTGAAATAATCATCAACCTTCGCCCAAGTGGGGGGGGGGGGCATATGTTACCACCCTGTCGCGTTTTACGCGTGCGAATAAAAAACCGCGGCGCGTAGCGCCGCGCCGCTTGGAGTAGCTTTCTGTACATCAATTTTGGACAATGTGTGTTTTTTTTTTGCCCCAGGTCATGTCAGGTCAGGTCACCAGGTCAAGTTAACTGACCAAGCCTAAGAAAAAGTTTGCAATCATGTCCAGCCTGCAGTGTTTGTCAGAGAGGTTTTAAACTCGGTGGATTTCCTACATGATGTTATGGGCACCGATAATTTATATACGTCGCAGGCATCAGGTGAAATCCGGCATTTCTTGAAATGTCCAGGCTTTACGTGGAAAGCCTAGGCTTTTCATGAAATGTCGGATTTCATCCCATGTTTGGGTTGCATTATTTGGCGCTGGCTCAGCACCAAACCTAAACAACAACACCTAACCCGACCTTACCTAATGTAATCTAACCTTATCTAACCAATTTACTTTTCACATAACACGTAAGGCTAGGTCTAATGGTTTGATATGCTATGTAGGTGCAAGCAGGTTCAAGGTTAGGCATTTCATGAAATGCCGGATTTCAGCCGATGCCTACGACATATTATCTCGAATTTTTTATATTCGTGACCTAAGGTCAGGCCAGTGGCGTGACTTTTCCATTCTAAGTCAATGGAGAAAAATGAAATGCCTCTAGATCCGTGTGTAGGTACGCATAGGAACAGTCCAAATATTTCAGAATCACAATGATTTGGACCACTCGTGACGACCAAGGTGTCTGTTTTGCTGATAGTCTCTAGAAAGGTCATCCGAGGTCATTTGAGGCTACAAACAGATTTTTGCCAATAACTCTCAATTGGGAAGAGAAGAACGCTGGGGATGGCTTCGTTGTGTTTGTCTTGTTGAGATGCATCGACTGATATGCAGCATGACCTTTTCCGGTCAGGTCATGACCTTGACCTGAGGTCAAATTTGTAAGTTGACCTTTCAAGGTCAAGTTATAGTTCATTCGACGCGTCTCGGCGAGAGGAACACGATTCTGGCAATAGAAATGTGGCTTTTTAGTAGAAATTTATTGTCAAATACCGCTTTCCGTAAAAGCAGCTATTTTTTGAGTTTTTGCCCTCTGGAGGCTAAACCGTTGACCTGAGGTCAATTCTGATGCATTTCATGTTGCATTTCATGTGTCAAGGTCAACCAAAGGTCATTCGAGGTCACATGAGGTCAACATAAAACTTGACCTTTTCCAAACAAAACATATATCATTCGACGCGGCTTGAGAAGGCGAATGTGATGGTACCACTGCCGTAGCTCTAGGACCATTTTTGTCGAAGTTATTTGCGAAAAACTAAAACCACATTTCGGGGTTGTTGACCTGACCTCTGACCTCAGGTCACCAAAACTATTTTTCTATTTTTCTCTAGGTCAAACGCTACACAACCGTCTCGTAATGTGTCTTTATCTCTAAAACTCTATTTTTAGCAGGTATTTGAAGTTCGCGTCTGTGACGCCGAAGTTTGCCGTGCAGGGGTCTTGAAAAATCGACCCTGTGACGTCATCAAGGGGGCTAGGTCCAAATGTTTTGCTACAGAAGATGACTAATTGATGGGAAAAAATGTACTGAAAGTTTCGCTTTCCTATCCCTAAGCGTTCGAGAGCTATCGCAAATATTCGCCAGGGGGGGGGGCGAAAAACGCCCCCGGGCCCGCGAGGGTTAACCCTATTCCTGGCGGGGGGGGGGGCCTCAGGAGCCCCCCCCCCCTGAGGTTTTTTGGTTATTTCTCCCAAACGCGTTGAGCTAGGAAGCTCAAATTTTCTGACTTTTCCTAAAAGGCTTCTACGCAACATGTCTGAAAATTTTGAGTTGATCTGACCTCAGGTCAGGTCACCAGAGGCGGTTTGGTGACCCTACCTCAAAAAAGTTTGCAATCACGCCAGAGCTAGAGTTTTTGACCGATCGATTTCTTCTCTTCAGGCTTTAGTTAGGATACCAGTATGTGCAATTTGTATATCTCGGAATTTTGATATCGGTGACCTAAGGTCAGGTCAGTTTCGCGACCTCCCCATTATAAGTCAATGGGGGAAAAATCAACTCCCTGTTTTTACCACTAAAACGGGTCGGAATGGTCCCATATACCATACATGACTTCATTTACGATCAACCTTCACTACCTTGAGGTCTGTTTTGCTGTTGGGCAGCTGTGAGGTCATGTGACGTCATCAAAGGTCACCAAAAGTTTTTGGCCAATAACTCCGTACAGGAACAACATACAGACGCGTGGATGGTCTCATTGTGTTCAGCTCGTCAAGACGCATCGAATGATATACATGATGACCTTGAGGTCACGTGACCTGAGGTCAACCTTTGACCTTGGCCTTGCGAGGTCAACATATATATCATTCGATGCGGATTGACGTGAGGATCACGATGATGCCCTTAGTTTGTTCCTATCTTGACTAATTCGAAAGTTATTCGAGAAAAACTCTCTCCATATCTAGCGCCGCCATTTTGACTTTTTCGACCCCTGTGACGTCATCTTTGACCTGACCTGAAAATGACCTTAGTAAAAATTGTAGATCTTGACCGTGCGTATCCGATGCCGTTTACCGTTTGTCGCTACCTTGCTTCGTTCTCGAGATCTCAGGGGGGGGGCCGAATCGGCCCCCCCCCGCCAGTTTCTTGTCCCGGCGGAGCCCGCCAGGAATAGGGTTAAACTGTTTTACGGTTTAACTTTCGCACCTAGCCTGACCCTTTTTCATTAGGTACATACGTAGCAGGCTAGGATCAAAAGGGGTTGATCGTCCTAAGACCGCTACCAAATGGCGATTGATATGCTTACTCATATCAAATTACGGGTAATATCACTGAGGCACACTGCACGGATGCCAAAATCAACAATAGCCTTGGCAGATCTTTTCGTAATGCCTCACTAGTTTTGAACCCATGTTTGACTTTCCTGATATCTAATTATTAGCTTCGCTTCATCTCCCTTTCTGTTCATTTCCGTTTCGTTTCATTTCGCTCAATTCGTTCCGTTCCGTTTGAAATTAATCCCGTTTCTGTTAATTCGTGTCAGTTCCATTTTGGCTCCATTATGAAAATGCGCAATGAAAAGACCCTATCATTCTATCATCTTTACAAAACTGGTATTGTTTCAACTCGCTAAAAATGAACCCTCAGAAAAAAAAACTCATTTTGATAGGATCTCGTCAGAACATCAAAGAGACTGAGGGCTTTCATTTACCTACTTATCGACGATGTCCGAGTGACACCACCATAGGCGTCGCCAGAGATTTTCGGTTGGGGGGGGGGGGCAAAATCAACATTTGTGCTAAAACTTGCCTTTCCCCAGTCTTTACTCACTCGTTTTACATATCATTCGACGTGCAATGGTGAGAGGAATCCGATGGTGACAAAGGTTTCCTTCTAGCTATGACATGTAATTTTTTTACAGAAAAATTCGAAATTTTGAAATTTCATGACAAAAACGACTGGTAGAATTATAGTATATAGTGGCTGCGATTGCCGACGCACTGCAGAGGGCCCCTGTGCAGACGCTCGACGCTCATGATCATTGCCCAGAAAAAGGTGAAAAACGCTCCATTTAATCGGATCACCCTGCTAAAACCTCCATTCACGCATGCATGCAGAGGTTTTACGTGAAATGCATAGGACTTATCCCAGCCGCCGATCGTAGCTAAGTTGGGCATTCGGCGGAGAGTGAATGTCGGAAGTATGAATCGGAAGTAATTCATCTTTGCTCCAGTGAGAGGAAGTGTTTTGTTCACTCGAGTGTGAACAAAAGTTTCTCGTTTTTCGTGTGAAGGGAAGCGCTGCAAACGCGAACAAAAACTGTTCAACGGAACCAAAAGCTACGCAGTACGCACGGCATAGCGGCAAGGGATCCCTTAGAGATACATTTGGGACTTCCAGGCTATTTTAGGCCACTCAGGGTCGGTGCTGACTCTCAGAAGCATGCTTAGGATTCCGGAGATCGGCGTGGGTCACCTCAAATATTTACGTGTACGTGGTGCTTTAGGGCTTTCCGAGCCCAAGGTGGGGCCCTCAGAAGCCAGTGTGGGCGGCGGGCGCTAAGAGACCAGGCCCAGGGTGAGCCGGGAGCCCTCAGATAGCGGTGTGAACCCTGGAGGTCTGTGTCGAATCCCTATGGACCCTACGTAGGGACATAATTAACATGTGTTGCGGACCTCAG